AAACAAATCGTGTCAGCTTGATCAGAAAAAAACCTGAGCCCGTACTGTTGAAATCTTCACTCCATATCTCTATTTATTGAGCAAGAAGTTAGACAGCCGGTAGGAGATTTTTCGTCAGGATAAGGTGTTGCAGACTGCAGTCACGTTCCCCAATCAACTCAAATCAATAGTCTTAACAAATCATATTTATTTCTGGTTGAATTTTAAATCATCTTAATTATCTTTATTATATAAAGACAACAAATTAATATTAGTTCATTTAATATTCACTATTGGCAGTTGGACGAGATTTCCCGATTATGAACAAAATTTTAATGCAACGCGAGTAGTTAAGTGGGGTACTTTTTTCTTTTCTTTTTTCAAATGTGAAAACAAATTTGGGACATAAATACAAATAAAACTGAAAAAAAGAATAGAATGCATTTTTTTTTCCACATTCCTGGCAAGCTGTTGGTTTAGATTATTTATTTTTTATATTTTTAACATTTACAAAATTTATTCTTATAACTCATTATTTTTTAGTTATTTTAAGTTTGAATAAATATGAAGTAAAAGAATTTTTCGATGTAAATATTAATTTATAGTAACAGTAATAAGTATAAAATTGTTCTTCATACATATTATATATAAATTATTTAATAAAAAAATTTAAGCATCATATTTTAAGTTGTTTGAACTTTCAAAGCTAAGCTAAACTATGATTAGGCTGACTCAAATTGGACAAATATATTTAGACTTAAGTTTTATTAATTTAATTTATATATCTTGTTAAACTATTCAGATTGATTTATTGAATTTTGTTTATTTCAACACCTTTAATATTGATTAAGGTTTAAATAAGCTAGCATATAATCGTGTGATACTTCTTTATTTTCAATATATCTATCATTTTAAAAAAAATTATTTTATTTTATCTACTAAATTAATAAAATATTAATTACACTATTATCCGTATTTTTAATTTTTTATTAAATAAAAATAAAAAGATGAATGGAATGATAATATTTAAAAATTTTAATAAATTAGATTTTAGTGAAATATAATTTTATTTGTTTAATCAAGTTAAATTTATTTAATAGTTTCTTTAAGCTACATACATAATGGTAGACGATACATATTTTGAAATGAAGGTATCTGATATGTCCAATTATGATTTTAAGATTGGGGGCCCAGCCTACGCTGGGGAAACGTTAGATATATTTTTGAAAGTAATATTCGTCTTGCCTCGTGTTGATTATGTGGGTATAGTTTATGGGTGCATATTTTCTTATGTTGTATAATAGTAGGAGAGAAAAAAAGTAGAGATAAGTTAAATGTGGGTCCCACATTTTAAATTAAAAAAAAAAAAAAAATTAATTGGCACGGAAAACGAATTTGTGTAGGAAAAAGTTCTTATCTCATGTAGAAGGAGATAATGATTTCCCATAATTTATTTATAGCGTTATAAGAGTTTGAGTGGAATGTTCAATTTTTAGTATCCATGGATATCATGTACTATAAAAATCTGAGTGGATCGGAGTGCTTGACACACTCCGTACAAATATTTTTCAACAATAATAAATTAATAACTCATATAGTTGATTTCTTATATATTTTGAGTAATACATTAAGGAAAATTATTATCTCATTTTATATGAGATAACTCTCTTATGTTGTCTTACATAAAAAATTATGTCACTACTTTTTTTTTTAATAAATGGTAGACCCCACCACGTTATGTGTCCATAAATATGAGAAAATGAAATCTCACAAATTAAAGGGAAAAGGGTTTTATCCTGTACCATATATATTTAATTAATAATTTTTTTAATATAACGATAAAAATTAAACACATAACTTAATATAAATTATTTATATCTCTCAAACCTAGTGGCTTTTTAATTAAGAATCTATATTAATAATTTTTTCTTGCTTTTCATGTTAACACGCTATCAAATATCAATGCAAGTTTAATAGAGGAAAGCACCCTTTTCTAATTATTATTTGAAAACAAATTTGTTATCACATTATTTTTCGAAGATTAATGTATTGAAAGTATTTCAAAATCCAAATTCAACACTTGCTTTTTTTCAAAAGTTATTATATAATTTCATATTGCGTTTAATGTTTCTTATAATATTATAAGAGATAAAGTTATCTCTTATACATATATAAAAGTATATCAGATCCATTTTTTTCTCTTCTCTTTATATGGTCTCACATGAATTTCACACACTTTTATATGTGTATAAAAAATAATGTTATCTCCTTCAAAATATTAATTCCTTTCATATTTAACTTCTTCTTTTTTAAAAGAATAGTTTTAGTCTCCATCAAATATATTTTTTTAATCCCGCTTGCTTGAAATCTGTGTCATTTCATGGTCGGCTAGGAAGAATTCTAGAATTGAAACTTGACAAAGACGGGAAAAGCATACCCAAAAATCATTAGCAAGCAGAAGGGACCAACAGCTATTATTGAATTAGATGCCTTCTAAATCATTTGGTCCAGGAAAGATAGAAAGCGCTACATAAATAAAATTGCACATAAACTAAATAGAATATAACCACGCCGGCAAAACTGCCTTCCATTATAGACTTGAATTGAAGCCTTCATTGACTTGAATTGAAGTGTTCATATTCTATTCGTTCTATCTCCAGGGTTTGCAAACCGACCTGGAAGCGATTGCGACGTTAGGATGGGCTATGGTTGAAAATCATCCATTAGAAATTGGCTCATTTTGAGTTAGTTATAAATTTGACAATCTTACAAAATTTACAACGATGATGTAAGAGAAAGAGGGGAACCCGACAGAGATAAGGAAAAAGGAAAGCATATTTCAGCACACACCCCATTAATATGGTAATCCTTTCACTCGCGTCGCATCACATACCTCAATTGACGTGCTTTGCTTGATATTGGCAAGTGGCACTACCTTCATAAGACAGTTGCGCTAGCTACTTCCACTCTCTCTTTGTACTCGTGCATTTATTTTTGGCAAAAATATTTGTCATTTTAAATGATACAATTTATATCTTTTCACTTTTATAAAGAGATAGGATTCTTACCTTTAATTTTTTTGTTTACTCTCTCTTCTCCTTTATTTATCTTTTTCTTTCGTTTAAAATGACACAATTTTACATACTTTAAAATGATACACATTTTTTCTTTTATTTTTTTATTCATTCTTTAAATTGAATTTTAATATATATTTATTGTGAAAAAAATTAAAAAGAATCTTATCTGGATCATTGCCGTGAATTAGTAGGGAATACTGACCAAAATGTCACTGTTCACCAACTTTTTTACCTAAATGTCACGCGAATAGTGTTATTTCTCAATATGCCACGGGGGCAAGTTCGCTACCTTGTGTAGCGAACTCGGTTTGCTGACGTGTCACATTTTTAATGGATAACAAATATCAAATTTTAAAAAAATAATAATAAAAAAAATGAAGGTCGTCTGGTTAAAATCAAGTTGGTGTCCACTAGAAACGTGACACGTCAGCAAACCGAGTTTGCTACACCGGGTAACGAACTTGCCCCAGTGGCAGATTGAGAAATAACACTGTTCGCGTGGCATTTAGGTAAAAAAGTTAGTGAACAGTGGCATTTTAGTCACTGTTCCGAATTAGTAGTCAACCACCGAAACGTAATATGCAGACTGACACTTGTATTTCATCGCAGTTTTCCTCTTCTACGAGGGTGTGTTTGGTTGAAGGATTTTGATGAAAAAAATAGAGAAATGTTGAGATATATAGTCCCACATTAGTTGAAGAGCAACTAATGTGGAGTTTATAAGGCCTTGATAAAGAACCTTGGGATACACCACCCCAAAAGCTAGCACTAAGGGTGGGAGTGCCCAAGGCCTTATAAACTCCACATTAGTTGCTCTTTAACTAATTTGGGACTATATATCTCAACAAGAAATGTGAAGTGAGATTATAAGGTGACTAGGTTTGGTTGAAGGATTTTGAAAATTTGGCTACCTAAATCATATCGCTATGAAACTGACTTGCATATGTATCTGTGTCCAAATAGCCGGCGAAAGTTTTCCTTCTGAGATGTCGTATTGTGCTTTTGCTACCTATTTGCTTACAGTGTTTAATAACCAATTGACGAGCTTACCCTTTGATAAGCGCGCGAAAGGAAAATGGACGAGCGTACACTAATGCTATACAAGCATACTTGGTTCATCTGTATCGCTTATCAGTTAATCACACCAAAGAAAGGGTCATGGAGGAACCACTGTTGTTGCCTTCTGAAAACATGACGATTTCTGATGAAGTCAAAATGGAGATTAGTCCAACAAAAATTCATGCATATGATTTGGATTTTGAGATTTTCCACAAGGCTGAATGATGGTCGGGTTGTTAACTAGTTGTTCCGTATCTGTTTGGTTGGAATTAGAAACTTGCCTTCCTGCTAGAGAACATGGTTTTTAAATACAAGGTTATTTTCGTAATATCAATTATTTTCTCCATCTATATTTTACCTACACCCAAACATAGACTTTATAAAAGTTACCTAATTTCCCCATCAAAATTCTCATAGCAGAGAAGTTCTTTGAATTCAAATTTAATACGAATTCAGTTAATTAAACTTGAGAACATAAGGAACAAGCTAAAAGAAGATAAATCTGATATGTCTGATAATCTTTTTGTCGATCTTGCATTGAGTACACTACCTGCTGAATGGAGTTCTTTCAAGACTGAAAGAACAAAGTGAATTGGATAAATTAAAGAGGTTTGTTTATATTTAGGATCAAAACTATTATAGTAAGAGTTTGGAACAAATCAGACAACAAAAGTTAATTGCTTACTTAGTTTCACATTCCAATAAATCTCATAAGAAGTCCAAGTCACCAAAAGGTGAATCCTCTTCATAATTAGAGGCCAAAAACACTATCTTCAAAAGAAGAAGAAGGACAAATGTCATAAGTATGGAAAGTGGGATCACTAAGCAACAGAGTGTAAGCTACCAAATAAGTTAAAAAATAACACACCACAAAATGAGGCTAATATGTCAACTAATGAACCTGAGCCTCAAGCTTTCATTGGAATGATAAATAATGAAAAGGCCAGTGTCTCCTCTGAGTGGTGGTTGGAGAGTGGTGCTACCTGTCATATTACAAATGATAGGAATTTACTTATTGAGGTCATAGAAGTGAAAGACACAGTGGAAAATTGCAGTGGTGATGAGACAAATGCGACTCATGTCGAAACTGCAAATTTGGTGCTTTCTTCAAGTAAATTACTAACTCTAAAACAAGTTAGAGTAGTACCTTTGCTTAAAAAAAATTGATATATTAGCTTGATAAAGATGGTATGTATTTCTTAACTATAAATTTGGTTCTTTCTTCAAGTAAACTACTAACTCTAAAACAAGTTAGAGTAATACTTTTACTTAAAAGGAAATTGGCATCTTTACTTGATAAAGCTTGTATGCCTTTCTCAACTATGAATAGTAGAGTAACTTTATTTGTTAACTCTTGTTATTTTGGTTGTGCATTCATGGTTAATGGTATGTATAGGTTGAGTTTAGATACTAAGAGCATAAACCATGTGAGTTCAACTTTGATTGATCCAAAGTTGTTACATAATAGACTTGGACATGTGAACTACAAGAAAATGAAATATCTAGCTAAAACTAATTATATTCCATTTGATGTCTGCTCGATTTGAAAAATGTGAAGTATGTTCACAAAATAAGATCATTAGAAAATCTTTTATGTCGGTTTCTAAAGCACACAACTTATTTAGTTTATACATTCTGACCTTTGTGACTTTAGAAATTATGTTACAAGAGGTGGTCAAAAGTATTTAATAACATTCATAGACAATTTTTCTAGATATTGTCATGTCTAATTGTTGAAATCAAAAGATGAAAATTTTGAAAGGTTCAAGATTTTCAAGTCAATAGTATAAAATAAACTCATCTTGAAAATTAAGAGGTTTACGAGTGATAGAGGAGAAGAATACACAATGACAGGGTTCAAGGAATTTTGCACTTCGAAGGGCATAATACTTGAAACCAATGTTCCTTACTCACCCCAATCGAATGGTGTTGTCGAGCGCAAGAATAGGACATTAACTGAAATGCTTAAACTCTATGTTACTTACAGCTGGCATGCCATCCTCATATTGGGGAGAAGCAGTTCTAACTGCCAATAATATCCTGAACAAGTTGCCTCACTCTAAGTTGTCTATAACTCCTTATAAGATATGACATAAGCATACTTATAGATATGATACTCAAAAGACTTGGGGATGTATTGCTTATGTAAGAATACAAGATTCCAAAAGACCTGAGGTGGGACCTAGAACCATTACCTATGTATATCTAGGAAGTGCAGAAAACAGTGCTGCAAAAAGGTTTTTTGGATCTATCTACAAATGCGATGATAGAATCTAGAAATGCAGAATTCTTTGAGAATGAGTTTCTCAAAGATCATGGTTTGAGTGCTTCAGGTTCTACAGACATGATTTTAGAATCTCCTATAGAATCTGAAGCAAGCCCTTCTGACACTAACCCTACACAACTGGTTGTTGAATCAGTTCCAGTTAGAGTATCTACGAGAGAGAGTTCCCAAAGACTTTGGCGAGGACTTTGTCACTTACCATCTAAAGGATGATTCGTTCTCCTATGAAGAAACAATGAGATCTAGGGAATCTTTACTGTAGGCAGAAGCCATAGATGATGAAATGAGCTCTCTGTTGCAGAATTTTACTTGGCAGTTAGTCAATTTACCGAAAAGGGATAAGGTTATAGGCTGTAAGTTGGTATTGAAGAAGAAACTGAATAGTGATGGATCGATAGCCAGATACAAAGCACATCTAGTAACTAAAGGCTATAGACAACAAAGTGAAATAAACTATTTTGATGCCGACTCACCTGTGTGCCATCTTTCGACTATAAGGATTCTTCTTGCTCTGACATCTGTTGAACACTATGTAGTGCATCAAATGGATGTAAAGACAACTAGTGGATGACATGTTAATTCTTGGTTTTGATCATTCTGTAGTGAGTGACATGAAAGCTAATTTAACTAAAGAATTTGACATGAAAGATTTTGGTATTACTAATACCATTCTTGGTATGAAAGTAAGCTTTGAAAGGCAAGTAGTCTCTTTAGCCAGACTCATTATATTGAGCAGCTACTTTCTGTCTGGGGATACAGTGAGTGTAAATTAAGTGAGACACCATGTGAATAAAATAAAAGACTGAGTTCTCATGAAAGGACCAACATGGATCAGTTAATGTATTTAAAACTGATTGGTTGTCTAATGTATGCTGCAAGTTGCACTAAACCTAACATAGCCTTTATAGTTGGCATGCTGAGTCGTTTCACTAGTAATCCTAGTAAAGAGCATTGGGATGCCCTCGATAGGCTGATGAGATATCTTAAAGGTACTAAATATTATGCTTTACATTGCTCTGGTTATCCTTCAATTGTGGATGGATATTCTAATACGTCATGGTCTTCAGAAATGAGAAATAGTAAGTTCACCAGTGGATATGTATTCACTTTGGGTGGAGCTACTATTGCTTGAAAATCCAAAAGATAGACTTGTATTGCATTGTCGTCTATGGAATCAGAACTTTTTGCTTTAGCCTTAGCCGACGAAGAGGCAAACTGGATAAAGAATATGATTATGGATATTCCTTTTGACTTGGTTAAAGATTAATTCTTTAAGCCTATTTTGTAATAATCAAGTAGTTGTCCAAGTTGTTATAAAAATGCTCTATTTAATTGACAGAGAAGACATATGAGACTGAGACATGCTTTGTTGAATTATCTGAGAGAACAAGGAGTTATCACCTCGATTGATGTGAGATCGAAGGATAACTTGGCCAATGCTTTCACAAAATGTATGCCTAAAGATCAATTATTCAAAATAGTGGGGAAAATGTGGTTAAAGACTACATAGTCAAGTCTTAATTACCATTTACTTACCTTTTAATTATGTGTTTTGAATTATCGAATCTTTCTTTTGTTGGCCAAAATGATAAGCACTATTTATATCAGTGTTATAAAAATTGGACCGGACCGGCCGGTTCAACCCAGAAACCGGTAAACCGGTCAGGTGACTGGTCCAGGTAGCATATTCGATCGGACTTGCAGGTGAACCGGTGCGAACCTGTTTGACTCGGCGCAAACCGGCCGAGTTTTCCTAAAATCGGTGACCCGCTGGTTCAAAAAACACTGGAGATACTCCCTCACTGATAACCAAAAAACCCGACGGCTATGTATTTTTTTACACATAACGAAGGCACAGCCTTAAGAAACAAAAAAAATCATAAACAAAACCAGAAGAAAAAACCAGAAACGAAACCAGAAGAGAGAAACCAGAAATGGAACCATAAGAGAGAAAACCAGAAAAAAGACAAGAGGACTAATCAGCAAAAACCAGATCAGGGTTTATGAGACAGAGGCGAATGGACTTCACGAGTTAGTGACATGCGAAAACCATTAATATGCTGGTTTCATTTCTGGTTTTGGCTAAAACCAGCGAAAACTCAACGGAGGCGGCTACTGATTTTTTCTTACTGAGATTGGAAGTAAATGTTAAATATGAAATGGGATATTAGTGTTTTGAAAATTTGGGCCTGTTCAGTTTTTTTGAATTCAATGGGCCAAAACGAACTTCAATCTTCTTGTAAACCCAAAAAGAAAAATTTAATAATTTTGAAATCTTTTATATTTTCATATTTTTTCATGTGTCATTTTTTCTTCTATTCACATGTCTGCACCTTTACTTTTATTTATTAATTTATTAATGGTAATATGTTCATATTTTTTTAATTCAAAATAAAAAAATTATAACTAGTATCCCAAATTAAAAATTTAATTATATATATATATATTTTCGGGTCATGCGGTTGAACTAGTGATCCAGTGACCCAGCACTTCGACCGGTTCGATAATCGGGTCGGTTTTTATAACTTTGATTTATATGTTTCATCGATGTTCATGATTGCTGATTAATTTGAAAAGGATAAGTTGTCTTATTCCAAACTTGATGAAGATAACTTGAACCTGATTCAAAGGTTCTACCTGGGAAACTTGTGTCATTCCAAACTTGACGATACAATCCAACCAGGTTGGACCATCCTTTTGGTTAAATAATCTCATTCCAAACTTGATGCAAGATTATTTGACTTTGAGAAATCAGTAAATGTGACATTCCAAATTGAAACATTGAAATAGTTGTTTGTATAAGAAGCTTGTGGATCTTGTTCTTAATTAAAACTTGACATCACATGACTAGGTTATTGTAAGTAACTTGACTATTGGTTCTGTTCATTGAAACTAGACAATAGTTGTTCTCTTACAAATAAACTTAAGTTGATGGCTCTTTGTAAAAAAAATTGTTTAGGCCTTGTTCATAATTTATGAAACTGGCTTGATGCTTATGAACATAATATTGCGATGCTTTATGATATTAATATATGTTCTTATTTGCCTGATGATATGATGCAAAGTTCTTTTGTAGAACTAGACATCTTTGGTAGATTATTCAACTGATTGAATTCATAATAATATGAATTTCATACTTGATATTCTACAGAGAATGGCAGAGATGGAGGAGAGCTTAATGAGAGGGATCTTGACTAAGATCACCTCCTTGATAAATGAATATATCATTTAGAGTATGTGGGGACTTGACAGTTCACCCGCTATTGCCCATTTTAATGAAGTTCATTTATTTGAGACTTACATTTTGCTATCTTTATTTTATGAACATTGTTGATTGTGAACTGATTTTGAGACTTATTTTGGGTGTTGGGATTTGGATGAGTTTTGATTGAATCTAAAACTCTAAATATTTATTTTGGAATGTTGGTCTCAGAACAGATTCATGATAATGATGATTTATTTAATTAGATTGAAAATGACTATTGAGTTTAATGTTTTACCATTAAAACTCTTTGATTGATTCGAGTTAATTGTCTTGGATTGGATATGAAAGATTCATATTTTTTTGAATATTACATTGATCACTCTATTGGATTATGCTATATGGTTGTTGCAAAAAATTGGCAAGTGTACCGATCGTTCCAAGTAATAAAATGATGAGTAGAGTATCGTCTCCATGAGGATTGAGGCACCGAAATTATTATAACTATTCCTCTCTTGTTGGATTAATAAAATTAGTTTAAGAACAATTGTAGGTTGTGGAAATTGAGAACAATTCAAGAAACTGTGAATAATTCAAAAATTCTTTTTAAAACTCGAGAACAACATATTAAAATTGAGAAAATATTTAAGAGAATATTGCGGTAAAGAGACGCCAACACCTTTATGATCCCCACCATATAATCTGAATTAATGTTTACATTTAATTTAACCATTGATCAAACAATTCACCATCTTTTAATTGATTAGTGATATGCCTCTAGCATATATATGATTTTTAGCCAAAATGAGAAAGAAATCTTGATTAATCTTGGAGAAAAAGGGCTAGAATTACTATTAATTTGATAAATCTCCATCAAAGATTGTACAACTGATTTCCTTCTAATTTTATAGGAAACAGGACAAAAAGAGGCACTTTTGGAAGTTCAGGCCAGAGTCTTACGCTAATAGCGTGAAACTCTCGCTAGTAGCGTGAGAATCCAGAGACATCCACGCTAATAACGTGAAACTAATGCTAGTAGCACCAGTCATTCTTGCCATCCACGCTCATAGCGTGAGATCCGCGCTAGTAGCGTGAACATCCAGAGACATCCACGCTCATAGCGTGAAACTCACGCTAAGAGCGCCAGATTGCGAAATCACAGCACCGTGTTTTTAAAAGGGCAGTTTTGGAAGATGAAAATGGGGACTATAAAAAGGATGCTCAGCACAGAATTAGAAGGCTAGACCTAAGGAGACCGTCGTGCTTCAGAAGGAGAGCTCCGGCAAGAAATTCTTGATCTTCTTTATTCTTCCATCTACATTCTCAAGTAACATTGAATATTGAATTTATCAGCCATGATAATGGTTGGCTAAGTTTTTCTTTATTGTAGTTAGGGTCACAAACCTTATGTGAACCCTTGTTATGACGGATTGGTTTATTTCTACTCGTTTATATAAATTTCTTTATCTTTACCTTGTGTGAAATTTCTATTTTCTTTGTTAGACTTGATCAATCTAATAGTTGATGATAGTTTGAGGGTTAGAACCCTAGATAGGAATATTGGGGTTTTGATCTTGAAAGGGGGTAAGATAACAATTATTATGCATGCTAGGAATAGATGTATATTTAATTGCAGATGCTTTAATTATCGTGTTCATTGCTTAATTTTCATGAGGGATTACTAAGGGATTAGGATTCCAATTGAGGTTAAAGGGTTAAATTACCAAGGGATTGGAATTTAACTAATTAATTCTAGATGATAATTATATGAGTATTTATATAAATAAGTATTCTTAAATCAATCCAAAGTAAGAAGTGGGGATCATATGGTGAATGCACTCTAGCTACAATTCTTTCTCTCAATTACAAAAATCCATCTCTGTTGTTTTCTCATAACCAAAAATTCAAAAACAAGTCTTTATTTTCAGTTCTCATTTTACACAAATCGACAATTTTTGTCACAAACTATTTGAACTCTTCCATTCTTGAAAGGACTATTAATTGATATACGATCGCAATCCCTGTGGAGATGATCTTTTCTTATCATTATATTACTTGTGCGATCGGTATACTTCCCGGAGAAGAAGAATGATGATGTCAAACATGAGAAGAAGCCTTAAAGGAAGCGTAAGGCTACAAAGAAGAAGGCAATGGGAAAGGAAGTGGTAAAACTCTTTGATACTAGTTGGAAGATGTATATGGACTATCGGAGGATGAAGGCCGCTAAAAAGAGAATCTGTGGGAAAAGACACCGAGACTCTTTCTCTCAGAGGAAACAATACTTCAAGGAGTTCTTCACATGGATTAATGGTTGGAATCAAATCTGGGAATGATGGTCTGATACACCAAGGCATCCAGTACCACCGGATCCTCCATTTGCTGAGTCATCCCACGCTGCTGAAGGGGATGACATGGAGGGTTGATTATATCTCCTTGCTGAGGGAGATTTTGTATATTAGTTTATTTTTCTGTTTCGTATTTTTAGTTACTTTGTGTTGGTATATCTCCCTCTGATGTTTTAATGTGCGCATTATAGTTTATCCTATACGCCACTGTTTGTTCCGTTGTGTAGGTTTTTCTTCCTTCTTGTGGTTTAATTATTGCTAAGGACAGCAATTCTCTAAATCTGGAAATGGTAGGCTTGCATCTTAGAACTGCAATTCTTCTATCAGGGGAGATATTCTAACTCTTTTAATTTTCTTAGTTATATTTTTGTAGTTATTTTGTGTGCTATATATAAAAAAAAATAGTGATATGTTTTTCAAGCAATTTTCATGTTTAAATGTGCTTATCTAGTTAATGTGCTTGACTGAATTCTTGAAAGTATGTTGTATGACATTCTAGCATGACATTGCATAGATATAATGGGATTACATGATTGCTCGTTTGTCTGAACTGATGTTGTGAAATTCTGATAATGTCTGAGGTCA